AGGTAGTGAGTTCAAAGGCAGAATCCTAAAACCACCGTCCTGGATTACAGAGCCAGAAGACGAGTAGATCATCGCTCACGTCCTTTATGCTGATTTATGTGTTCATAGCATTAGTGTTAGCTCCGCCCTTCAGAAACCTCTTCCCATCATGCATGTGTCAGTGATATCATCATGTCATGCACCACCATCTTTCAGCACTTGTGACCCCACGTGAATGTGAATGCCCCCCTTTCCTTTCATCCCCTCATGTTTCTCTGAATTTAGTTTTAACTGTAAATAATAATAAATAATGAATACTTTATTTGCAATTTTTATTTATTTATTTTAGATTTATTTCTATTTATTTATTTTTTTCATTCCATCATGTCTCTAAATAAATATATAAATGATAAATAAATTATTTATTTTAACATATTATTTGTATTTATTTATTTTTATATTTTATCTCTTTTTATTCCCATATGTTTCTCTATATCTAGTTTAAAAAAATATTTAAATAAATAAATAGCTTTTATATTATTTTAATTTTTTCCCTTTCATTCCTTCATGTTTCTTTGTATTTCGTTTTAACTATAAATAATCATAAATAATGAATATTTTATTTGCAATTTTTTTATTGATTTATTTTATATTTATTTCTATTTTTCCTTTCATTCCATCATGTTTCTAAATAAATATATAAAAGATAAAGAAATACTTTATTTATTTTTTTATTTTATGTTTATTAGGATTTTTTATATTTTTTCTCCTTTCATTTCTCTCATGTTTCTCTATATTTAGTTTTAAAAATAAATAATTAAATGTGTTTATTTATTTTAATTTATTTTATTTTATATTTATAAATTTATTTTTATATTTTTTTCTCCTTTCATTCCCTCGTGTTTATCTATATTTAGTTTTAAAAATAAATAATTAAATAAACTGTTGATTTATTGATTTATTTATTTTTGATGTTTTTCATTACATTTCCTTGTGTTTCTCTGCTTATATTTTCTTACTATAAATACGTTTTTATTTATTTATTTCTCTTTTTTTATTTATTTATTGCAATTCTTACATTACTTGTTTTTATGAATGGTTTATACTGCATGTCAGCATATTACAGACTAATATAGCTGCATGTATGCAGTTTGCATAGCAGACAAACTAAAACATTAATCTGACATACTCTGCTTGAATATAGATCTCAGTGCGCACAGAAATGATATTTAATTACATTAATTTATCATTGTAAACATTATTACACTACATTAAAGGCCTTTTGTGCTCTTAACGGTATGTGAAAAACATTTAAATATCTTTGATATAGATGCATTTGATCATTTAAGAAGCAGTTTGTAGACAAATATAAAACTAAAATAAGTTTTTATGAATTTAATGTGTGATCGTGATAACGCCACAGGCTCAGCTGATCCACGACAGAAACACGGCGTCTCACGCGGCTCTAAGCGACAAGACGGACGCCACACCGGAGCGAGTCCACATGACCTGGACCAAAGACAAGTTCTGCACCGAACGAAACCGCAACCGAGAACCCAACGCAAGCGTGGCTGTGCGAGACCTGTTCAACATGAAACCGTAAGTCACCTGAACACACACTGACTCTGTAACGTTTGCTGCTTTGTGGTTTTACTGCTTCAAGCGCTCACGATCACAGTTTGACTGGGTTGCATGTTCAAACACGAGCCCAGAGCCTGCTGCTGTTTCAGGACACAGTCTGCATGGTTTGTGCTGTCGTCACATCTGCATGACCACAGTGTGTCATCATGTGTAACGCTCACGCGTCCACCATGTGTCTCTTCATAGATTCATATCTGGCCAGGAGTTTTTGGTCTTTATATAATATGTGACCCTGGACCACAAAGCCAGTCATAAGGGTCAATTTTTCGAAATTGGGATTTATACATCATCTGAAAGCTGAATAAATAAGCTTTCCATTGATGTATGGTTTGTTAGGATAGGACAATATTTGGCTGAGATGCAACTATTTGAGAATCTGAGGGTGCAAAAAAATCAAAATATTGAGAAAATCATCTTTAAAGTTGTTCAAATGAAGTTCTTAGCAATGCATATTACTAATCAAAAATTAAGTTTTAATATATTTATAGTAGGAAATTTACAAAATATCATCATGGAACATGATCTTTACTTAATATCCTAATGATTTTTGGCATAAAATAAAAATCAATCATTTTGACCCATACAATGTATTGTTGGCTATTGCTACAAATATACCCCAGCGACTTAACACTGCTTTTGTGCTCCAGGGTCACATATGATCTAAAGGTTAATGTAAGTCTATCCTGAACGTCATTTTGTCAAGATTCTCTTTTCCTATTATTTATTTCAGAAGAATCATCTCAAATAACATGCTGGACAAACAAACACTATAATATGAAAAGCTGTCACCAATATAGACGCTATTGCTCAGAGAGATTTCTGTGATGGTTGATCTCTCAGTGTGGGTGTTTAAGCCTGTCTCTGTTGTTCTGTCCTGTTTTCCTCCTTCTAGCGAATGGGAGAGTCTGTAAGTCACATTTCTCTGTACTGTAGCTGTCTGTCTGTCTGTCTGTCTGTCTGTAGGTGTATATTAGCCGTCCCATCACAAACCCTGCAGCACACTGGATTATTCAAGCATATACGTGTTTATATGAGCTTCAGTGTGTGTGTGAGTGTGTGTGAGTGTGTGTGAGTGTGTGCGTGTGAGTGAGTGTGTGTGAGTGTTCAGGTCAATAATCTACTGTCTCATGTCTCATTTGTGTGGTGAATTAGTCTTGTATTCTCCTTTAATCAGCAGAAAACAGCACAAACACATGATTCCTGTCTGTGTGTGTGTGAGCATGCATGTGTGTTTATGTCCCAGCATTCCCTCACATCCATCACCTCTCGTCCTGAGAGATGCAGACGCTGATATGTGCAGCATGATAATCTCAATTTTTGCTACATGCAAGAAAACCTGTGCTTCACCTTCACCTGTTGTGCCCAGGAAACATTTCAGAAATTGAAAACATTATTTAAAATA